CTTCTGTTCTCATTCCTAGTCTCCAACTGAAATTTCTCCTGTGTTTACTGCTAGTTTATGTCTGGAGACCCCTGCTGTGCTTAATCCTAATCTCCTAATCTGAAGACCCCCCCCCCCCCTCTAAAGCCTCCAGGTCTTCTGCAACTCCTTATGTCTTCCATCTGGAGCTTCTGCTCATGCTCATCTCAAGACTGCAGCTGGAGTCCTCTTCTGTTCTCATTGCTAGCCTCCAACTGAAGGACCCACCTATGCTCATTTCTAGTCTACATCTGGTGCTCTATCCTGTCCTCATTCTCAGTCTCTAGCTGGAGACCCCCCAGTTCTTACTACTCCTGCAATCACTGCTATTCTCCAAATTGAGACCCTTCTTGCTCTCGCTTCTAGTCTCCAACTGAAGCCCCTTCCTGCACTCACTCCTAGATTCCAGCTAGAGACTGCTACTGGTCTTATGCCTAGTTTCCAACTAGAGACTCAGATTGTTATATCATACGGGGAGATTTAGTAAATCGGGAGAGTTAAAAATCTGGTGCAGCCAAGCAGCTTGTAACTTCGACTTTTTCAATTAATTTTTGACAATAAAACCTGGAAGCTGATTGGTTTTCATGCAGAGCGAGCTGCACCAGATTTTGCATTCTCCAGTTTTAGTAAATCTCCCCTATAGCCTCTATATGGAGCCCCCTCCTCTACTCACTCCTAATCTTCATCTGGACCTAGACCTTTCCTGTACCCACTGCTAGTCTAAATCTGAAGCCCCCTCCTGTGCTTAATCATATTCTCTAGGCTGAAGATTTTCTAGCTGGAGCTTTTGCTTGTGCCACTCTTAGACTGTCTGTTTCTTATTAGTAGGCTTCAACTTAAACACCTACCTATGTTCAATCCTAGGCCCCATCTAGAGCCCCCTCCTTCCTTTATTCCTAGTCTCCATCTGTAGCCCCCTTCTATCCTCACTCCTAGTCTTGAAATGGAAATATGGGCCTACAATGATTTTTATCTTCATAGACATAATTTCATAGACATAATTGATGACAGACATTATTAATAGTGAACCTTTGACATATGGCTCTGTAAGTTGCACTGATTGGATGCTAACTGGAATTTCAGAGCAAGGGTCATAAAGGCAACTGCCATTCGGTTAGTCACCCAGACCTGGAATTTTATTTAAAGAGGTTTATTCTCAGGCAACCCGGTAACAGTAAAGATGTAATCTCTGAATACAGTGATATGGTAAATACTTTGTGACAGATGTCTCTGTGGGACGTGCCTTATCATTCCTGGAGGAAGCCACTTCAAAGGGGTGGGAATGGAACTGGAACCATCATAAATATCATAAATGCCAGCTGGTGTCCTAAAGATGACCAGTATCTTAAGATTTGGTAGTAGTCCAGTAACTCCATCCGTTGGATGATAATGGTAGTGATGGCAGGGTCCTAAAATATTTGAAAACTCTAAAGGGTGTGTCTCTACCAGGAAGGGGTGGTGAAGGGGTGACATCATAAACTGTATATAAATCAAGACTCCGCTCTCATCTCTATCTATGGGCTTGGACAATGGACCATAAGGACACCTGTGTATTGTAACTCCATTATTGCTTTTACTCTATGTGTAACTTTCTTTTTCTATAACCATTCCTCCCCAATGGTAAAAAAATGTCAAGGAGTTTGAATACTTCAAGACACTGTCACTTCACTGGACACAAGGCACTGTAACTTCACTGCAACTTCAAAGCATATTCATGTGATAGAATGGCCTAGTCAAAGTCCAAACCTAAATCCAACTGAGAATCTGTGGCAAGAAATGAAAATTGCTTTTCACAGACGCTCTCTATCCAATCTGACAGAGCTTGAGCTATTTTGCAAAGAAGATTGGGCAAAAATGTCCCTCTCTAGATCTGCAAAACTGGTAGAGACATCCCCAAAAAGACTTGTAGCTGTAATTGCAGTGAAAGGTGGTACTATTTATTTATTTCATGTACTTATATAGCGCTGTCAATTTATGCAGTGATATATATGTATATATATATATATATATATATATATATATATATATATTGTACATTCACATCAGTCCCTAACCCTCAAGGGCTGTACAATCTAAGGTCCCTAACTCACATTCATACATGCTAGGATCCAATTAACCTACCAGCATGTCTTTGGAGTGTGGGAGGAAACTGGAGTACACAGAGGAAACCCACGCAGGCACAGGGAGAACATGCAAGCTCCAGGCAGGTGGTGCTGTGGTTGGGATTCAAACCAACGACCCTAGTTACATAGTTAGTTTGGCTGAAAAAAGAAAAAAGTCCATCCAGTTCAACCATTAAAAAAAAAGATTAAATTTATTTTCCTCCAGACGTAAAGAGTGTCCCCTTGTCCTCTGTGATGACCTCAGGGGGAATAACTCTACACCGAGTTCACTATATGAACCACTGATGTATTTATACATGGAGATCATATCCCCCCTTATGTATTATACATGGAGATCATATCCCCCCTTATGTATTATACATGGAGATCATATCCCCCCTTATGTATTATACATGGTGATCATATCCCCCCTTATGTATTATACATGGTGATCATATCCCCCCTTATGTATTATACGTGGTGATCATATCCCCCCTTATGTATTATACGTGGAGATCATATCCCCCCCTTATGTATTATACATGGAGATCATATCCCCCCTTATGTATTATACATGGAGATCATATCCCCCCTTATGTATTATACATGGTGATCATATCCCCCCTTATGTATTATACATGGAGATCATATCCCCCCTTATGTATTATACATGGTGATCATATCCCCCCTTATGTATTATACCCCCCTTATGTATTATACGTGGAGATCATATCCCCCCTTATGTATTATACGTGGAGATCATATCCCCCCCTTATGTATTATACATGGAGATAATATCCCCCCTTATGTATTATACATGGAGATCATATCCCCCTTATGTATTATACATGGTGATCATATCCCCCCCTTATGTATTATACATGGAGATCATATCCCCCCTTATGTATTATACATGGTGATCATATCCCCCCTTATGTATTATACATGGAGATCATAACCCCCCTTATGTATTATACATGGAGATCATATCCCCCTTATGTATTATACATGGAGATCATATCCCCTCTTATGTATTATACATGGAGATCATATCCCCCCTTATGTATTATACTTGGAGATCATATCCCCCTTATGTATTATACATGGAGATCATATCCCCCCTTATGTATTATACTTGGAGATCATATCCCCCCTTATGTATTATACATGGAGATCATATCCCCCCTTATGTATTATACATGGAGATCATATCCCCCCTTATGTATTATACATGGAGATCATATCCCCCCTTATGTATTATACATGGAGATCATATCCTCCATTATGTTTTATACATGGTGATCATATCCCCCCTTATGTATTATACATGGAGATCATATCCCTCTTATGTATTATAGATGGAGATCATATCCCCCCTTATGTATTATACATGGAGATCATATCCCCCCTTATGTATTATACATGGAGATCATATCCCTCTTATGTATTATACATGGAGATCATATCCCCCCTTATGTATTATACATGGAGATCATATCCTCCATTATGTTTTATACATGGTGATCATATCCCCCCTTATGTATTATACATGGAGATCATATCCCCCCTTATGTATTATACATGGAGATCATATCCCCTCTTATGTATTATACATGGTGATCATATCCCCCATTATGTATTATACATGGCGATCATATCCCCCCTTATGTATTATACATGGTGATCATATCCCCCCTTATGTATTATACATGGAGATCATATCCCCCGTATGTATTATACATGGAGATCATATCCCCCCCTTATGTATTATACATGGAGATCATATCCCCCTTATGTATTATACATGGAGATCATATCCCCCCTTATGTATTATACATGGTGATCATATCCCCCCTTATGTATTATACATGGAGATCATATCCCCCCTTATGTATTATACATGGTGATCATATCCCCCCTTATGTATTATACATGGAGATCATACCCCCCCCCCCCCATGTATTATACATGGAAATCATATCCCCCCCTTATGTATTATACATGGAGATCATATCCCCCCCCTTATGTATTATACATGGAGATCATACCCCCCCTTATGTATTATACATGGAAATCATATCCCCCCTTATGTATTATACATGGAGATCATATCCCCCCCCTTATGTATTATACATGGAGATCATATCCCCCCTTATGTATTATACATGGAGATCATATCCCCCCTTAATCTCCTGTTCTCAAGAGAGCATAAATTCAGTTCCTCTAATATTTCCTCATAGCTGAGCTCCTCCTCCATGCCTCTTATCAGTTTGGTTGCCCTTCTCTGTACTTTCTCCAGTTCCCCAATGTTCTTTCTGTGAATTAGTGCCCAAAACTAAACTGCATATTCCAATTGAAGTCTTACTAATGATTTGTACCGGGGGAAATTATATCTCTCTCTCTGGAGTTTATACCTTTTTTAATACAAGAGAGGATTTTGCTCGCTTTAGAACCCGCAGCTTGGCATTGCATGCCATTATTAAGTTTGTGATCTACCAGAACCCCCAGATCCTTCTCCACCATTGACCCCCCCAGTTGTACCCCCCCCTAGTATGTATGATGCATGCATATTATTGGCCCCCAAGTGCAGAATCTTACATTTATCAACATTAAACCTCATTTGCCACATAGTTGCCCAATTACACAGAGCATTGAGGTCGGCTTGTAAGTTGAAGACATCCTGTAAGGACATTATTCCCACGGCACAGCTTGGTGTCATCTGCAAAGACTGAAATGGGATTTATAATCCCAGACCCTATATTGTTTATATATATATTAAAAAGTAAGGGTCCCAACACTGAACCTTGGGGTACACCACTGACACCCCTAGACCATTCAGAGTATGAATCATTAACCACTACTCTCTGAATATGATCTTTTCTATTCATTTACATGCAGATTTTTTCCAAGCCTGTAGACTTTACCTTACACATTAGCCATGTGAGGGGAACTGTGTCAAAAGCTTTAGCAAAATCCAAGTATACCACGTCCACCGCCACCCCCTCTATCCAAGTATACCACGTCCACAGCCACCCCTCTGTCCAAGTATACCACGTCCACTGCCACCCCTCTGTCCAAGTATACCACGTCCACAGCCACCCCTCTGTCCAAGTATACCACGTCCACCGCCACCCCTCTGTCCAAGTATACCACGTCTGCCGCAACCCCTCTATCCAAGTATACCACGTCCACCGCCACCCCTCTGTCCAAGGTTTTGCTCACCTCCTCATAAAAAGAAATCAGATTTGACAACTTCTGTCTTTCATGAATCCATGCTGTCTGTTGCTTAAAATATTTTTTTCCAGCAAGAACTCTCTGTGGTCTTTTATTAAACTCTCCGTATCTTCCCAACTATAGAAGTTAGACTAACAGGTCTATAATTACTTGGTAAAGATTTTTGACTCTTTAAATATTGGCACCACATTGGCCTTATGCCAATCCAGTGGTACTATGCCAGTCATTAAAGAGTCCCTAAAAATTTGAAACAATGGCTTTGAAATGACAGAGCTCAATTCTTTAAGGACCTGTGGGTGTATGCTATCCGGTCCAGGTGCTTTATTCAACTTTATTCTGTCTAAATATTTCTGGATCATATCAATTGTGAGCCAATGTGGACCATCTGGAACTGTGTCAGTACCACGCCCATTATGGACAAGAGCTCCCCCATGCCCCTTTGTATACACAAAGCTGAAGAAGGTATTTAATAAATTTGCCTTCTCTTTGTCCCCAGTCACCCCCTCTAGATTATTATGTAAAGGGCCTACATGCTCGGACTGAACCTTTTCACTATTAATATATTTGAAGAATTTTTTTTTCGGTTGGTCCTGCTATCTTTTGCAATCTGTCATTCATTTTAAATTTTTATTTCCTTTTTGCATATTCTGTTATATTGTTTGTAATGTTTAAACGATGATAGCGTTCCTTCATTTTTATATTTAATAAAAGCTCTTTTCTTATTTAAAGCTTTTTTAACTTTGGCCGTAAGCCACATAGGCTTGATTTTTAGCCTTTTAAATTTGTTGCCCATGGGAATATATTTTGCAGTGTGTTCACATACAGTCTTTTTGAAGAACTCCCATTTCTGTGTTGTGTTCATTGATTCCAATTTTCCCTCCCAGTCTAAGTCTTGGAGAGCAGCTCTCAGCCTAGTACTGCTAACCATTTGTCCACTGTGCTGCCCCAATACTTCTACAAAGTATTGACTCCGGAGGGCTGAATACAAATGCCGCCACACTTTTCACATATTTATTTGTAACATTTTTTGAAAACCATTTATCATTTTCCTTCCACTTCACAATTATGTGCCACTTTATCTTGGTCTATCACATAAAATCCCAATAAAATAAATTTACGTTTTTGGTTGTAACATGACAAAATTTAGAAAATTTCAAGGGGTATGAATACTTTTTCAAGGCACTGTAATTTCATGGTAAAGGCATATACATGATATGAAAATTGTACAAAAATCTTCATATGAGGACCAATCATCCAATAATCTGATTGTTATTACACAGCTTTCGAGAGCCGATCACGACGATTCATGCAACAATACACGGATTTGCGAAAAATGTTCTCGTATCATACCAGATCGTACGATTTTCATTTAATCAGTACAGTAGTCACCGAAAATACAATACAAATACAATACCATACATTCCATCACTTTCAAAATTCCTTTCTTTTGTATGAGAATTTCCATAAGTTTAATACGTTCTTCATTTTCAATATGGAGACTAACATTCAAAAAAAAAAGAAAAAGGATGATCCTTTGTCCAACATTCTTATCATGTGTACGGGGCATAATAGCTGCAGCAAGATTAGCTAGATTCTGCTATAGATGAAAGGTGGCATTCACTTATTATATTTATCACCAACGGAATAAGGAAGGTTATATTTCAGCCATGAGCCTAGGTTCCCACCTGTGCGGCCGTGCGGTCCGTGATTTGCGTGGGTATGAGAGCCCATTCATTTGAATACGCTTCTGTGCCCCAAGACACACAGGAAAGAAATCCCCACACTATTTTTGAAATCACAGCCCGCACGGGAACCCAGGTTCCCAGTATGGTTGAGATTTCCAGTGTGGGCAGCATGCCATTAGGAGTAATGGCACCCACAGGTGGGTCCTGCATTTCTCTGTGTAAGTGGTTGTGGCTGCCGGTATTTGTGTGGGTCCAGCAGCGGCACCACCCGCACAGATCTGAACCTAGCCTAACAGTCTCAATCTGAAGACCATTCTTGGGCTCAGTCGTAGTTTCCAACTGAAGCCATCTCCTGTGCTCATTCCTAGACTCCATCTGGAAAATCCTATTGCTGTCAGTTTTAGTCTCTAGCTAGATACCCCTCCTGTACACACTCCTAGTCCTCAATGCGTGCTCTCTCCTAGACTGTAGCTGGAGACCCCTACTGATTTCAGTCCACTTAAACTCTACCTGGGGATCTCCTCACGTGGTTACTCCTAGTATCCAACTGGAACCCTCTCCTGTGTTTATTCATAGTCTCAAGCTATTGTATTCTGACAGTAGAGATTCTCCCACTGTCAGAATACAATCAGCGCTGCAGCAAATTGACTGAAGCCCTGATCAAATAAAAGATTTCCAAAATTCCTGTTTGACAGAAGTCGATCATTAGATCAACTTTTGTTAAGCAGAAAAGGCCATTGATGGATCAAAATTTGGCCAGTCCCTGTTCAACAGTTGGAGCCCTTCTGTGCTCAATCCAGTTTCTGTTTTCAATTTTGGCTGGCTTGTACTGAAAAATGGTAGCCACTGCATAGAAGCTTTCAAAGTAGGATAAAAAGGATAAACTCCCTGTTAGCTTTTTGTCAGTTAGGCAGAATTTATTTCCCTTCCTGTCCCAGAGATACAAAAGGAAATGGCAGATCATCTGTCCAATGTGGGGGATATCCCTCCTTAGACAGTTGTCACTGAAACAGGTGTCCCCATTAAAAGATCTCGCTTTCATTTCTGATCCAGTAAGGATAATAAAAGGTCAGTCTTTCTCATTCTGTGTCCATATTTATAGTTACCAAGGCTCTTTCCTACCCCCCTCCAAAATAAAAAAATAATTATACAGTATATATATATATATATATATATATATATATATATATATTTATGCACACTATATTGCCCAAAGTATTGGGCCACCTGCCTTTCCACGCACGTGAACTTTAATGGCCTCCCAGTCTTAGTCCGTAGGGTTCAATATTGAGTTGGCCCCGCCCTTTGCAGCTATAACAGCTTCAACTCTTCTGGGAAGGCCGTCCACAAGGTTTAGGAGGGTGTCTATGGGAAGGTTTGACCATTCTTCCAGATGCACATTTGTGATGCCAGGCACTGATGTCGGATGAGGAGGCCTGGCTCGCAGTCTCCACTCTAATTCATCCCAAAGGTGTTCTATGGGGTTGAGGTCAGGACTCTGTGCAGGCCAGTCAAGTTTCTCCACCCCAAACTCGCTCATCCATGTCTTTATGGACCTTGCTTTGTGTACTGGTGCGCAGTCATGTTGGAACAGCAAGGGGCCATCCCCAAACTCTTCCCACAAAGTTGGGAGCATGAAATTGTCCAAAATGTCCTGGTATGCTGACGCCTTAAGAGTTCCCTTCACTGGAACTAGGGGGCCAAGCCCAACCCCTGAAAAACATCCCCACACCATAATCCCCCCTCCACCAAACTTTACATTTGACACAATGCAGTCAGGCAAGTACCGTTCTCCTGGCAACCGCCAAACCCAGACACATCCAAGAATTGGCAGACAGTGAAGCGTGATTGGTCACTCCAGAGAACACGTTTCCTTTGCTCTAGAGTCCAGTGGCGGCGTGCTTTACACCACGGCATCCGACGCTTTGCATTGCACTTGCTGATGTAAGGCTTGGATGCAGCTGCTCGGCTATGGAAACCCATTCCATGAAGCTCTCTATGCACTGTTGTTGTACTAATCTGAAGGCCACATGAAGTTTGGAGGTCTTTAGCTATTGACTCTGCAGACAGTTGACGACTTCTGCTCATTGTGCTCTTCAGCATGCGCTGACCCCACTCTGTCATGTTACGTGGCCTACCACTTGGTGGCTGAGTTGCTGTTGTTCCCAGTTGCTTCCACTTTGTTATAATTCCACTAACAGTTGAGCGTGGAATATTTAGTAACAAGGGAATGTCACGGATGGACTTATTGCACAGGTGACAACCTATCACGGGACCACGCTTGGAGTCACTGAGCTCCAGAGAGCGACCCATTCTTTCACAAATGTTTGTAGAAGCAGTCTGCATGTCTAGATGCTTGATTTTATACACTTGTAGCCATGGAGGTGATTGGCACACCTGAATCCAATGATTTGATTTGAGTGCTGGCCCAATACTTTTGGCAATATAGTATATATATATATATATATATATATATATATATATATATATATATATATATATATATATATATATACATACTGTATGTTTTTTTTCTTTTGGGGGGGTAGGAAAGAGCCTTATTAACTATAAATATGGAGACAGAAAGAGAAAGGCTGACATTTTATTAATCCTCCTGGATCAAAAACGAAAGTGAGATCTTCTAATGGGGACACCCATATATATATCAGTAAATCATGCTTAACTATTTTCCATGCAACAGAAGAACAAAGCGTATACTGGACTGACATCAAACAGGGAAAACTATACACAATGACACAGTGACTTCAGCCATAAATCAGACCAAGTGTTTGTTAATACAACTGCCATAGTGCTATTACTTAATAAAAATGACATACTGCTTCCCCAGGCGAGCCTGGCTTGCCGTCCTTTCCGTCCTTTCCAATGATGCCCTGGAAGACAGTAGAAAACTTCTCAAATGATGGGAAAACACAAAGAGAAAATACCCTAATTATTAATGAAAACACTTTTATTTGAGGTACTAATATAATATTTATCTCAAACTAATCATTAAAGCTGAATTCCAGGCACCTGCCTGTCACCTAACAAGAGAGGATGTACTGGTAGGCAAGTAGGAGGATAGGCAGGTAGGAGGAGGTATTGGTGTCTGATGAATCTAAGTATTAGTTTTTGGGGTTGCCTAATCATGGTGCCAACATCCACCATGATTCATACAATACAGAACCATAAAGAAATAGAACTTTTTCAATGCATAAAAGACATCCATTCCTATTAAAATATTTTTACATTTATTTATATTGAGCTAAAAGATTGACCCTTAGATGCATAAAATAACATCCTGGCCAAGAATAGCCCATAAAATATCAGGAGACAGTAGATAAAATA